CCTGCTGCACTACGTTGTGGTTCTTCAATTGGGAAAGGCATTGCCCTTTATTTGGGCACACCTCTAGTCTCCTTTAAATTCAGCAAGCAGCTACTTGTTAGTCAGATTACCTGCTTGTGCAGCAAGGGTGCTAGCTTATTTCATTTTAAATTTTTCTCATGGTTTGTGTCATGTGTACTGTCATTCATATTTTCTCAGCATGTATTCTCTTAAGGGGCTCAGAGTCTAATGTGTGCCTTATATGCTAATGTCTTGTAGAGTGTTCTTCCACCAGGTCCTCATGTTAGCAATACAGTGGGTGGTGATTATTGCATTCAAATTGTTTTATTTTAGAATCATGATTTAAACTCTAGGCAAAAATAAAGAGTGTTATGTGATCCAGGAGGTACAAAGTGTTTACACATGGAGACAAATGGCAAGAAACAGTGTTATAACAAAGGCTAGACTTGGGTCCCAAAATTCCCAGGAAAAAGTTGATAATGTTGAGTTGTAGATAGTTGTTGCTTTAAACTGTCCATTTAAGTCCAGGATAGAACAAAGTTTGGATTGAAAGAATAGCTGATCAGCATTTTAACTTGAATTCAAGGCTTGTTCAATTCAGTTGTATTGTGATGGTCTTTACAATTAAGTGCAAAGAACACATTGAGATATCAGATTACAGGCTTTCCAAAAACTATTACTGAATATGAAATAGCACAGTTTTGCCAGAGTTTGTGGGGAGACACAAAGAAACATAGCAAGAAAACACTAAAGGCCAAAGGTTACCATAGATCACTACACGAAAATGCAGGTGGAAGTCTGAGATAACAAGGTGTAAAGCTGGATGAACACAGCAGGCCAAGCAGCATCATAGGAGCAGGAGAGGAGGGGATAGGTGGGAGGAAGGACAGGTTAGGGAGGCGGGGACAAGCTGGGCTGGTTTTAGGATGCGGTAGAGAGAGGAGAGATTTTGAAGTCCACATTGATACCATTGGGCTGCAGGGTTCCCAAGCGGAATATGAGGTGCTGTTCCTGCAACCTTCGGGTGGCATCGTTGTGGCACTGCAGGAGGCCCCGCTTGGACATGTCGTCTGAGGAGTGGGAGGAGGAGTTGAAATGGTTCGCGACTGGGAGGTGCAGTTGTTTAGTGCGAACCGAGCGTAGGTGTTCTGCAAAGCGGTCCCGTGAAGGTTGCAGGAACAACACCTCATATTCCGCTTGGGAACCCTGCAGCCCAATGGTATCAATGTGGACTTCAAAATCTCCCCTCCCTCTACCGCATCCTAAAACCAGCCCAGCTTGTCCCCGCCTCCCTAACCTGTCCTTCCTCCCACCTATCCCCTCCTCCCACCACTATCTCCTACCTACTAGCCTCATCCCGCCCCCTTGACCTGTCCGTCCTCCCTGGACTGACCTATCTCCTCCCTAACTCCCCACCTACACCCACCTTTACTGGCTCCATCCCCACCTCTTTGACCTGTCTGTCTCCTCTCCACCTATCTTCTCCTCTATTCACCTCCCCCTCTCTCCCTATTTATTTCAGAGTCCCCTTCCCCTCCCCCATTTCTGAAGAAGGATCTAGGCCCGAAACATCAGCTTTCCTACTCCTCTGATGCTGCTTGGCCTGCTGTGTTCATCCAGCTCTACACCTTGTTATCTCAGATTCTCCAGCATCTGCAGTTCCTACCAGCTCTTGGATAAAACAACCTGTTTTGTCTGAAAACAGAAATTTTGTTGCATCATCTTTTTAGCTACAACTTAAACTGAAAGTTGATTTTTTTAAAAAAATCAGCCTTTACAGGAGTTATGGCGGGTCAGTGCAGGTATATGAGGGACAGGGTCAGTGTGGGTATATGGGGGGGGGGGGGGGCGGGGTTATGCTTTCAGCTTCCTCTGCTGTAACAATTTACACCATTAATCTATTACAGCCCAGTTAGCCCAACTTCTATGGTGGAGAAATTGCCAGAAGGCAGTTAAGTGTCAACTTCATTGCTGTGGGTCTGAAGTCACATGTAGACCAGACCAGGTAAGGATGATGCATATCCTTCCCTAAAAGGTCAGTGAACTAGATGGGTTTGTCTAATAATCGTTTCATGGTCAGTGTTAAATTCTTAATTCCACATTTTTACTGAATCCAAATTCTACAATGTGCCATGGCAGGATTTGAACCCAGGTCCCCAGAAGACTACCTGGGCCTCTAGATTAATAGTCTAGCAATAATACCACCAGCCCATCATCTCCATTAGGGTAACTGATCACCTCAGAAAATTTCAGTTAATCATAGAGAGTTAGCATGGATTCACGAAGGGTAGGTCAGCCCTGACAAACCCCAAGTTTTTGAAGAGGTGACAAAGGTGGTGGACAGAGGCAAGTCAATGGATATTGTTTACGCGGAGTTCCAGAAGGCTTTTGATAGAGTCCCACACAAAAGACTAAGGTAGAAGCCCATGGAATTGAGGGCAAATCACTGACATAGGTAGGAAATTGGCTGAGAGGTGTGAAGGAGTTGGAATAATGGGCTCAAATTGCCAGGATGTGACTAGTGTGTCTTCAGGGATCTATGATGGGGCCTCAATTATTCACAATACAAAATTAATGACTTAGATAATGGCATAAAAGGGACAAATATCCAAATTTGTTGATAACAAAATTGGGCAGCTTTGTAAATAGTGAGGACAGCATAAAATTACAACAGGATATTGATAGATTAAGTGAATGGACAAAGCTGTGGGAGATTGATTTTAATATAAGCAAGTGTGAGGTCATCTATTTTGGACCAAGAAAGGATGGATGATGGTATTTTTTAAGAAGGCATAAAGTTAAATACAGTTGAAGTCCAACAAGATTTGGGGGTTCAGGTTCATAGCTCTTTAAAATGCCACAAATAGGTGCTGAAAATAATCAAAAATGTTAATGAAATGCTTGCCTTCATATCTAAAGGGCTGGAGTATAGGGATGCAGATGCTATGCTGCGGCTAGAGTATTGTGAGCAGGTCGGGTGGCACACTTTAGGATGGATGTTTTGGCCCTGGAGAGAATTTAATGCAGGTTTACAAGGATGATACCTAGACTTCAGGGGTTAAATTATGAGGAGAGATTGGAAAAATTAGACCTTTATTCTCCAGAATTTAGAAGATTAAGGGGTGATCTAATTAAGGTCTACAGGATATTAACAGGGAAGGACAGGGGAGGTGAAGATAAACCGTTTCCACTGGTTGAAGATACTAGAATTGGGGGCATAGTTTAAAAATTAGGGCCAGTCCATTTAGGAGAGATGTCAGAAAGGACTTCTACACTCAAATGTAGTGGAGGGCTAAAATTCTCAAATGGCAGTTGATGCTAATTAAATTGTTAAATCTAAACCTGAGAGACTTTTTTTAAAAAAATTAAGCAAGGGTATCAAGGGATTATGGAGTTAGGCCACTGATCAGCCATGATCTTACTGAAAGGCAGAGACATGTGAGGAGCTGAATGGCCTATTCCTGTTCCTATGTTCCCAATCTTATGTTTCTAAACTTGAAACAGAGATAATGTTTGAGAACTGTGGCCTTGCATCAGAACTGGAAAATGTTACAAATGCAATTGTTTCTTTTTAATTAAAACTCAGGGAGAGAGGAGAGGAGAAAGGGGTATAAAGAGAAAGAAGGGTCTAGGCCTGAAACGTCAGCCTTCCTGCTCCTCTGATGCTGCTTGGCCTGCTGTGTTCATCTAGCTCTACACCTTGTTATCTAAACAGAAAGAACCTTTGATACAGTGGACAGTAGGAATGATTAAATTATAAAAATGTATGATTAAAGCAAAGGAGGTGGTAATGGAACAATAAAGAAATAAAAAGATGTGTGTAAGCTTACTGAAACTGGAAATAGCAGAACAGTTCCAGAAACAAAAATGAGAATTGCTGGAAAAGCTCACCAGTTCTGGCACCATCTGTTGATAGAAACAAGAGTTAACATTTCAGATTGAGTGACAATTCTGAGGAAAGGTCACTCGATCTGAAAGGTTAACGCTCATTTCTCTCCACAGATGCTGTCAGACCTGCTGAGATTTTCCAGCAATTCTTGTTTTTTTCCCCTGATTTACAGCATCTGCAATTTTTTTCAGTTTTCAGAACAGTTCCCAGTGTCTGCACTCAAAAAAGGGAGCAATGTTTACAATCTGAACTTGTTGAATTCAATATTGAATCTACAAGTCAGTGAAGTGCCTAATCAAAAGATTGACAGCTTTTATTGAAGCAGTGTAGGTGGTGAGACCAGAGAGGCAGATGGGAAGGGGAACAAGTGACCAGAAGCTATACAAAGTCAGCTCAACAACATGCTCTTATCAAACAGATCAAGCCACATACAAAGGAAAGCTTATATTTAGGAAGCATATTTACATAGGATGATAAAGCAAAGTTAGGCAATGAACATAAGCACATCTTAAGGTAGAAGGCCAAAAGCTAGATCAAAAGAAGCTAAGTTATCTTGAAACCTATGGACAATAGAGGAGTTAAGAAGTGGCGATGAGGGGGTCTTCAGCATGCATGTGAAAAAATAACTAAGTCACAAGATCCTTTGAGTACTTGACAAGGCGGATGCTAAAATGAAGGGTCACTGGACCTGAAACGTTAGCTCTGATTTTTCTTCACAGATGCTGCTAAAATGATGCTTTCCCCTGAGGGCAAACTAGAGGATACCTTTTTTTTTTAAAAAAGTGGCCTTTATTTGAGGCAGAAAATAGGGAGATTCGCTCTCTCCCCCTCAATGACCTCAGAAGGCCATGGAAGCAGCTGGAAGGGCAGAATAGACTGATCAGTCATAAGATGGTGGCAAGGGGCAGTGTATGGATGAGAATAGGAGGGCTAGATCCAGGGGATACATACAAGAGGCAATTGTGCAGCAACTGGAAGAGAAACAATTGCAAACGTTGGATCAGCTGAAGCAGATACAGATAAATATCATAAACATTTCTAAACCCCAGGCCCAGCGTTTATGATATTCTCTGGGTCGGCACTGAAGGGGTTAAACAACCTTCGCCCTCTCCGGGGCACGCACGCGCACTCACTAACGAACATGGAGCCCCGGAGGTCCCGTATTCTTCACCTAGCGATCGTGGCTGTGCTGGCGGCCACCGTTACCTGTGAGAAAAACGGCAGGAAGGAGCAGCAGGAATGTCACCACTACGCCGGCGGTCATGTGTATCCAGGAGAGGCTTTCAGGGTGTTGGGCTCCGATCACTCGCTGCACCTCAGCAAAGCCAAGAGTGAGTGGCGGCGGCCCTCTATGTCTTCTTCCCTTCCTCGCGCCCCTAACGGCGGGACGGGCTCGCGCTAGTGGGCGCCGTTTGAATTGGAACCGTTAGCCGATGGAACGTTGCCCGCGGCACGCGAATAGGTGGGAGGGCTGACCGTCCGCCTGCCCGCTTCAGGCGGTTGGCCAAAGAGGGGGGAAATTCCTCGGAGGTTTTTAAGATCGTATTGGTGGAAGTGGTAAGGAGATGAATCGAGGTCTGAGGTAGGTGGGGAAGATTGTGAGGAAGGGGCTTTGTCACGCTGGTTGAGCGCCCGTTAATTATTTGGTTTTGTGTTTGAAAGCTCGGTCGGAATGCTGACTGAGCGCCGGCGCTGTTTAAGGACACGTTGCATGTTCTCTCGCTGGCCCGATCCGCTATCCCTATTAACCCCAAGATTTCCCAAGCTCCAGAGAGAGGGAGAGGGAGAGTGTGAGTGAGTTGGGATTTCCCCCATGCCGAGTTTTTATTTCAGTTCCACACTAGCTTCCTCCCATCTGTCTTCAATCTTGTACTTATCAGTTTATTAAGTTTCGTGTGTTCACCACTCTGTTTAAAGCGCTGACGGCAGACTGGGTCTCCCAAATTTGAGTCTAACTGCCCGCCACTTTGTTTAAATCATTACAGTCTTGTTTCTGATTCTGCTTCTGCCCCGTTTCAGTCCCAAAAAAAAACTCTACTCAAAGGCACAAATGTCATAATGATATGGTAAGTGGTGTAACTATCCCTTGTAGAACTTCTGAACTGATTTACACTTCCACATCTTTACACTCCATGTGCCCTCTGCTCTCCCAATTTCCATACTTCTTCATATGCCAGAGAGAATCATTTGCTATGATTTCTGTTCCTGCATTATAGTTCTAAGTTGGACCTAGGCCTGTTTCTTATCAATTATTTTACATCATCTGAAAGCATTAAATGTTTTACATACCTCACAGAAGATTTCCAACCTTAGAGTCAAAGTTATACAGCACAAAAACAGACCCTTCAGTCCAACTCCTCCATGCTGACCAGAAATCCTAAATCGATTAGTCCCTTTCGCCAGTATTTGTCCCATATCCTCTAAATCCTTCCTATTCTCATACCCATCCAGGTGCCTTTTAAATGTTGTAATTGTACTCCTCCACTTCCATGGCAGCTCATCCCATACATGCACTATCCTATGCATGAAAAATGTGCCCCTCAGGTCCCTTTGAAATCTTTCCCTCTCACCTTAAACCCATGCCCTCTAGTTTTGGACTCCTCTACCTTGGGGGGAAAAAGACCTTGGCTATTCACCCTATCTGTACCCCCCATGATTTTATAAACCTTTATAAAGCCAACCCTCAGCCTTCAACACTCTGGGAGAGAGAAAAGCCCCAGCCTATTCAGCCTCTCCCTATGGCTATCAAACCCTCCAACCCTGGCAACATCCTTCATAGAATCATAGAATCCCTACAATGTGGAAACAGGCCCTTCGGCCCAACAAGTCCACACCGACCCTTGGAGCATCCCACCCAGACCCATTCCCCTATAACCCACACACCCCTGAACACTACGGGCAATTTAGCATAGCCAATCCACCCAACCTGCACATCTTTGGACTGTGGGAGGAAACTGGAGCACCTGGAAGAAACCCACACAGACATGGGGAGAAAAATTTCAAACTCTGCACAGACAGTCGCCTGAGGCTGGAATCGAACCTGGGTCCCTGGTGCTGTGAGGCTGTAGTGCTAACCAGTGAGCCACCATCCTTGTAAATCTTTTCTGCACCCTTTCAACTTTAACATCTTTGCTATAGCAAGGAGGCCAGAATCGAACACTGTACTCTTAAAGTGGCCTGACTGATGACCAATACAGCTACAACACGACATCCCAGTACCTATATGCAATGCACCAAACAATGAAGGCAAGCATGCTAAACACCACCTTCACCACCCTGTCTACCTACGATTTCACTTTCAAGCAACTATGCATCCACACCCCTAGGTCTCTTTGTTTAGCAACAGTCCCAGGTCCCTATCATTAGGTGTATAAGTCCTGCCTTGATTTGCCTTAGCAAAATGCAACACTTCACATTTATCCAAATTAAACTCCATTTGCCACTCCTTGGCCCATTGGCCCATCTAATCAAGGTTCTGTTGCTGTCTCAGGTTACCTTCACCGTCCGTTTTGGTGTCATCTGCAAACTTATTAACCATACCTCCTATATTCACATCCAATTATTTATACAAATGACAAAAAGCAGTGGACCCAGCACCAATACCTATGGCACACCGCTGGTCACAGGCCTCCAATCGAAAAGCAACTCCCACCATTGTCCTCTGTCTCCTACCTTTTTATCCAAATGGCTAGCTGTCCCTAGATGCCATTTGATCTAACCTTGCTAATCAGTCTACCAAGTAGAACCTTGTCAGATGCCTTGCTGAAGTCCATGTAGACGGCACCTACTGCTTTGCCTTCAATCTTCTTTGTCACTTCTTCAAAAAAATGTCAATCAAGTTAGTGAGACATGATTTTCCCATGCTTAAAGCCGTGTTTATTATCCCTAATCTGTCCTTTCCTTACCAAATGTGTGTGAATCCCCTCAAATGAGCTACCCACCACTGATATTAGGCTGACCGGTCTATAGTTCCCTGGCTTTTCCTTGCCACTCTTCACACCACGTTAGCCAACCTTCAATCTTTGGGCACCTTAGCCATGGCTACCAATATTACAAATATCTCAGCAAGGAGTCCAGCAGTCTTTTCCTGGCATCCCACAAGTTCTTATTTTACCTCTATTTTTGCCCCCTCCACTTTTTTGTGGTACTAATTTTGGTAGCAGCAATTTCTTCCAAATAAATATTGGGAAATTGAAAATATTGGCTTTAGTGACCAATGCAATTTTCTCCCATAGTTACAGACTAACTTCTCACCCCTTAAACTGTCTGGGCCTTAATCACGGTGTTTTCAACATTGCTATCATATTGAGCCTGTAACATGACTTCCTTCACTAACACACAATAACCGCAGCATGTACTATCTACGTAATATACTGCAGTAACTCATCAAGGCTCCTCAGACAGCACCTTCCAAACATAATCACTACCATCTAAAATGATAAAGGCAACAGATAAATGGAAACACTGCTACCTGCAATTTCCCTTCCAAGCTGTTCCACATCCAGACTTATAATTATAATCACCATTCTTTCATTGTTGTTCTTGGTACAAAATCTTGGAATAGTACACCTTCACCTCAAAACAAAACTGCAGTAGTTCAAGACAACAGCCTACAACCACCTTCTCCACAGCACTTGGGGATGAGTAATAAATACTGACCAGACTCTTGACACCAGCATCCTGGGAATGAATTAAAAATAGATGCCAAAATGAGCTACTGACGACACAGTATCACCTTATTCTGTTTCACCTCATTTGCTGCAATCCTCACTCTTATCTGTCATTACCACCAAACTAGACATCTCTAATTCTCCACTGAATAGCCTCCCATAGTCAACTTATAAACTTGAGCACAGCATAAAGCTCTGTTGCCTGGGTTCCTCTCACTTATCAGCTCTGTGTTTGCTGAACTGGCTCTCTATCCAATCAAACCTCAATTTTAAAATGTTAATTTTTGTTGGGTGCAGGGGGGACGGGGGTGCAGGGGAAGAGGTTGGGGATAGGGGGCGGGGGCTTTGGTGGGATTGTGAAAACATTGTTTTAGGCAGTGATGTGTTGGAGGGGGGAGATTGCTTTAGATTGATCGTTGAAGATTAAGGTGATTTAAGTGTGCTGTATCAGTGCATGCAATTCTTCTGTTCCCAAAAATCCACACTCCAGTGGTCCACACATTTGACTTGTGCTCTGATTGTGCAATAATTTGGGACAACTACTCAGGACAGTGCAGACATTTTAATGTGATTACGGAATTGGGGCTAACTTAGATCTAATTAACTTCATACAGTGAGTTCTTCTCATCCATACCTGCCTACCCCTCCTTCAGAACACTTAACAATTCAATTAACAATGCATAGCTGGAAAAAGTCTTGAATGACTGATTTTGTTCTAGGATGAGCTCCACGGCTTGATTGTCACAGAATACTTTAAACTTTTTTATTAAACTGAATTCAGAAACTTTACTGATTTGGATTTGCAGCAATTTGTTATATTCTGATAAAATTGAGATCCATTGGCATTAGGCTATATATATAGTTTGTATAGAATTGTATACATTGCCTAAATGTGAGGAACAATTATTATTCATGGAAGGCCAATTTGACATAAAATTAGCAGGATTTTAACTGTACCTTTATACATTAATCTGTGTGCTATGTGTTGGATGTGAAAAAGTTACCAAGTGTAATTTAAACTTGAATTGGGGATAGTGTTAGAGAGAATGGTGAGCTGGAGTGCACTGTACAGTTTTGGTCTTATTTGAAGAAGGAAAGATATGTGTCTTAGAGGGTGCTCAGTGAAGGTTCAGTAGACTGATATCTGGGATGAGGGGAATGTCTTGTGAGTAGGTATTGAGTAAACTAGGTGTATGTTCCAAAAATAGCATTTTGAATGGAACAGAATTGAGAAGAATGTCAGAAAGTCTCATGTAAACATAAAATTCTCGAGGAACCTTATAGGTAGACGTTTGGAGGATGTATCCCAGGACTGCAAAGACTAAAACCAGGAGGTTTAAGATGGAGACGAGGAGAAATTCCTTCACATAAAGGCTTACAACTTTTATTCAGCCCCAGCTCTGCCATAAAGTCAGCTCTAAATGGTGACTTGAGTGCAAAAATTCTCACCACCAGAATTACCATGAATTGCAGCATAGAAATTGACCTTTGAGGCTTCCATAAATAGTGGTTTGGGGATAAAGAAGTGGTTAACTTGTGTCAGAGATAGTAGGAACTGCAGATGCTGGAGAATCCGAGACAACAAGGTGCAGGGCTGGATGAACACAGCAGGCCAAGCAGCATCATAGCAGCAGAGAGGCTGACGTTTCGGGCCTAGACCC